CAAAAGTAGGCCTAATGAGCTGATAAGGAGCAGGTGTGACTAGAGCTGAGGAGGAAGCCAAGGGAAAAGAACACAAGGGGGCAACAGAGGACAGGCAGAAAAACCTAAGCAACTTAAATGAATGCAGACACCAATAAGCTAGAAAACAAGGAAAAACCTGGATGAACTTGAAACTGAAAACTTAGAGGAAAACCAACAGAACCAAGATCATTACAGTTCACATGTGTATGTGCACATGTTTTTTTAATCGTCCAATAGCCCCATTGTTTGCTCGTGTTTCTGTTTTGCCATTTTGTTTTAACTAGTCAGGGGAACTTAGGAGGGTGGGTATATTTTTAGTCTGAAATTAACTGGGACTCTTGTCGTTTGACATGTTCTCCCTGGGGCTTGACACAGGCCTGCTGCAATATCCGACAAAACTTTCTTCTTGCGAAATCATTCCATTAAGCTGCACAGCCTCTGCAACTGCACCACACTTTGCTTGAGGCTAATGTCCACATCGATATGAATGACTTCTTAGTGGTGTCTGCACAGCAGACACAGCGTATGCAGTGTAAGCCCAGTGTAATGATGTATCACCATGTTTATTTCAGGAAAAGTTCATGAAAATGTCCAGTCTGAAATATTTGTTCCAAGTCCCTTTTTTCTCCTCTCAAGGCTTAGCTTGTTTTATTTACCTGTTTTATTTGCTTAGAATTCCAGCAGCAAGCTGATCCTGTTAGGTATGTGCTCCCAAGGACTTGCTTATCCCACTGTCTCCCTTGTGTGTGTTTGCTTTACAACATCTCATAAAGAAGGAGGAAAATGTTAAGCACATTTCTATTTTGCAGAATAGGCTGAATTTCTCTATAATCAATATATAATCAAATTGTCACTGTGATTATCTCCACCAATCATCTTTGTTAACTTAGTTCAATTAGGTGCATATTTCACTTTTACATTTTGCAAAGGTTGACAACCTGTGTGAGCTTAGATTCCACTCTCCAACTCTGGTCATATTCAGAATTCAAAATTACTTTAAATGTACTTTAAATACTTTACTGGAGGCATCCATGTTTGTCAAAGAACACTGCTGCCACCTACTGGTTTGTGACGTCACGGTGCGGTATCGGCTGTTGATCAAGTCCCAGTGCTGTATCTGGTGTTTGTCACAACGCGCTATTATCCAAGTCATCTTGAAAACATTCTTCTTCCAAATGTTGGCTACATATTACGCGTTTTCTCTCTGGCCAGAAGTTCGATGGCAAATACTTCCTCCTCATCAGGGTTACCGCAG